AGAATCCAAATTGGAGATTCTTGGTGGTAAAGATAGACTGGTCACAGAGTTATTAAAATATGCTAAAATAATTGTATCCAATTCAGTAGATCTATCACAAAAACATTGATTATACAAAACATATGACCTCTTTGTTCAATTTTGTAAATAGGCTAAGATATCTAAAAAGCAAACGAATATTGAAATTTTACTAGTATTTATTAGCTGGCTAGATATCTCATGCCAAGATTCACAAGTTCAGGCCTATCTAAATATATTGTTCAAAAAGTTCAAACGATCTAAAAGCATAGATTTAACTGAGAATTTTAGAGTTAAGGAAGTAGTTAAGGGTTTAAAACTAATAAAAGCACAAGACTGGGAAGCACTATGGCCTCAGGACTTATTTTCAATAACTGTTTTAAAGTTATACTATAATAATTTACCAGATTAAGTAAATACAATTTTTTGGCACCAAGATTTGGTACTGGTAGATCTGTGCTTATTAAGAGTAAAGGATATGAAATATAAGAATAACCTTTTATATATGATTAAAAATCAGAAAGTCAAAGAATGATTCTTTTGCAAATTTAAAGTTTGTTCCAATAGAAAGAATAAATAGTATTTGCTATCTGGTTCGACTATTGGAGAAATATTTAGAAATTAAACCAAATACTAGTGAGAATAAACTATTGTTCTTATCTAATACTAGAGACAAATAACTATTGCAGCAATTTCAACAATAATAAAATATATGACTGAAAATGCAGGGTTGCAAAGGTGTTTTACACTCTATAGCTTAAGAATTGGAGGGCTACTATGGCTATAAAAGGTAGCATGAGTCTGATACAAATTAAGGCAATAGGAGGTTGAGATTCTAAGGCAATACTTTTATACTTAAGGTTTGTGGCCACTACTCAGATTCAGGCTTCTGAATTAATAGGGTTTTGAGAAGGTTTGCAATTATATTTTAATTGTTTCTAATATAAAACTTTTTATTATGTGACTACCAAGTAGTGTTAGTATCCAATTTAGATTCGATACTCTGCAAGCAGTGTTTAAAATTGTCTTGCACAAGATGCACATGTGCAGGTAGTTTTTTTTTGCACAAGAGAAGGTCCAAATGTATATGCACAAGTATGCAATTAAAATTAAATAAGAAGCTTGTACAAAAAATAACGAGCAAGAAAAATTCCAAAATTTTATTGCACAAAAATTTAGTTTAAATATAAAATATGAAATAGATAATGATAATCTGAAAAGTTCTGAAAGAAAAATGAATGAACATTAAATATGAGCAAGGATAAGTTTAAAGTTAGAGAAAATATCTATAATACTCTGAAAATTAAACAAAAAATTTAAGATATATCTGGTATAGTAATTTTATAATGTTAACATCACTTAGAGATAATAAATATGTGCATATAAAAATAAAATTTATATATACATATATGCAACTAGTAGTTAGTTTGTACAATTAAAACCTATGACACAACTGCATTTGTGCAAGTAGATTTCGATCTGAATTTTAAATACTATCTGCAAAACCCATAAATTGTTTAGTCGTATTGTTGTTTCTTTGACCCACACCAGTGTTTTAGCATTAGCTAAGTGACAAAATGAAGGCTACTCGAGACAAAGTCACAAGTAGCTCTTTTTGTTACAAAATTCAATAAGGACCCCATAAATATTGTTATTACAGAGATGGTTTTATATATATGATCAACAGGAGTTGATCGATATTAATATCATAATTATTAATCAGATAAACAGAGTATAAATAGTAAATATGCAGAGTAAGTTGTTTATTTTTTTTATTTCGCTGTTGCTTGACTCTGAAAAGTCCAGCTTCCACCCTCCCTTCCCTTCTAGTAATTAGTATCGATTGAAGATAGGAAAATAGAAAATAAAGGTAGTTGTAAGTGATATTTGTCATAGTATATGAGAAAGTTAAGCAGCTGTCTGGGTTCTAGCTAATATGAAGTGCACTTGGCTAGTAATCTATAGTAAATTATATTTTTGTATTGCAGCTTGGCCTTACGAATCAAATGCAATTGGTGGTAGCAGCTCAGTTTTATAAATTGAATACTACTAGGTTAATGAAAGCAGGTATAAAAACTGTGGTAACAATTAACTCGTCTAATGTTTCAACTCCCAAGTATACTCGATTCTAGAAAAAAGCTGTCAAGCATGTAATGGCAAGATACAAACCTATAAATTGTTTAGTTGTATTATTATTCCTTTGACCCATACTAGTGTTTTAGTATTAGCTAAGTGACAAAAATAATATATTTATTAGATTATCTAAAATTAATTAAACCATTTGTCAAAATTATGCAATATAGGATTAGATAAAAATAATTTAGTTTTAATATAAATAAAATAATAGTTCTAATCAATATTTAGATCAAAATATATTAGTTGTATATCAGACCACTTGCAGTTAATTCTTCAGTTAATATTAATATAGATTTATATATACTTGACCCCATTAATCTCAATCTATTTGGATTAGGCAATTATGTTAATATATATGAAGGTTGATAATATCAGAATAGTTTTAATATATTTTGAGTCTATTTTGTTTTAATAAGAGGTTGATATTAACAGGAAGTTGATATTAACAAGGTTGATATTAACAAGATTGATATTAATGAGGTTAGATATTAACAGAGATCAAGTGTATTTGTTTTGAACTTATTTTTTTTGAATCAAATTTTTATTAGACAGATAGACTAATAATTACTGATTATTGAAGATTATAGTAAAAGACTAAGAGAAAGAATTTGTAAGAAGAAATTATAAGCCACTAACTTGTATAAACTATATGAATATAAACAAATTAAATAATTTTAATAAAACTAGCTATATTTAGTAATCAGATTTAAATGTTTAAATAAATATTAAATATTATTTTTTAGCAATAGCTATTGGATCTATTGATTAAATTATAGCTTGAATTATAGCTTAAGCTGTAGCTTTATTTATAGTTCAAACCAGATTTATAGTTTTTAAAAGCTAGGTCTATCTATACAAACTATTAGTAGCTCTAATATATATGCAATAATTATACTCATTAATTGATAAATAATTAATATTTTATTATTAAAAATAAGAAGAGTTAATAACTTAAATATTTTAATTAATAAATAATTATTATATTATACTAAATAAATTAATTCATAATCTATGAGAGAACCAGTGAAAAATCATGTAATTTTTACTATTAAAATTTATATTTTTTGGAATCTAGAGTTTCTCTAAGGATAAATTAATTTTTTATTAAGCAAATCTTCCATATATTTTAACAAAAGTTGTAGAGAAGAGAATTATGAATACAATAGTAGTTAAAATGTTAAAATCAGCTTAGTAGATCATAAGATATGTGTATTTTTGTCTTCACAGCTATATGTTTACTTCTTTGTATAAACTAAGTAAACATATAGCTATAAAGACAAAAATATATATATCTTATGATCTACTAAACTGATTTTAATGTTTTAATTATCATTGTATTTGTAATTTTTTTCTTTACAACTTTTATTAAAAGCATATTGGAGAGTTGCTTAATAAAAAATATATTTATCTTTAGGAAACTCCAGATTTCAAAAAAGTCAAAAATTATATAGTAAATATATCTCTGCAGTATACTATATTTGGTTACTGGTTTCTTCATAGATCACAAATTAAATAAAAAGGAATATAGTAGTAAAAAATTTAAAAAATAATATATATCAAAATTTTTTATATTTTTAAATGAATTTTGCTAACTATAACTGGTGGTGATATCATTAGTGTATAATTAATTTGTATAACAAAAATAAAGATTTTTTTCAAAAAATACCAATATCTCAAGAATTTGTCTATAAAACTACTTTCAACATTCTAGCAAAAAAATTTCTTACTAAATTTTGCATATATTTAACATCTTGCTAAAATCTTAAACCTCACCCTAATTCTAAAATAGAGAAAATAAATTTTTATTTTGTTTTATTATTATTGGCTAATTATATATTAGTGATGATCACCACTGGTAAATTTTAGTTAAACTCTTTTTAAATAATCAAATCATTTTTTAATTGAGTTTAAATAAAAAGTATTGCTAATTTTAATCAGAAGAAAATTACCAGTTTGTAATTAGCCAATAAAATTGCAGAATTAGATATAATGTATAAATTAATTTTATATGATAAAAACAAAAAATTTTTTTAAAAAATTACAAATATCTCAAAAATTTACTTATGAAACCCCTTTTGGATTCTAACAAAAAACTTCTTGCTAAATTTTACATATAATTTATACTTTGCTCTAACTCTAATCATAGGTTGTGATCCTTACTCTAAACTAAAAGAAGAGAATTTTTTTTAAAATCTGTTTATTTAATTGATACTGATCTATATATTATACAAACTAGTAATTTTCTCTTCAGTTAATAATAGTTATTTTCTTAAATGAATACTATAAATATATAATTTATTTAATTAAATATAGATTAACTATATACAAAATATTATTATTATAGCAATATTTTGATAAATAAAGTTGTAAAGAAGATTTTTCTGATTCTAATGGTAGTTAGATCATCAAAATTGGCTTAGTAGATCTCAAAATATATAAATTAATCTGTTTTAAATAATTTTAAACTTAAATAAATACTAGCTTTCTTAGTATTTATTTAAAATAAAAATTATTAAAAAAATTAGCACTTATAAATATTAGTAAGGGTGTGGTGACTTAGTGAAGTGGTGAAGTTGTCGCACCCCCAAGCGGTTGAGTACAAGTTCAATTCCTACTGGAGA